TGAAGAATCTCGCAGACAAGAACACGTTGAAAGTGATTCCGGTATTCTACAAGGTGAAGGTAGATGATGTGAGAAAACAGACGGGAAAATTTGGCGACAACTTTTGGAAGTTGGCAAAAACTTCTACTGGTGAGGAGATCAAAAACTGGAAAGAAGCTTTGGAGTTTTTTACCAACAAGATGGGCTTGACGTTATGCGATAACAGGTATTCTACGTGATCTTTAACTCTTTACATTGAATGCTAAAAGAATAGTTCATAGGTCAAGATAATTTTTAAAGCTTAACTCTGCCGTGTATGGTAAACTGCGTTGTTAAACATGGCTTATAAGTGCTAACCATAACCGTCACAAGAAACCACTTGAAACTCCTATGATATTTTGCAAAATTCGAGCCACTACAAGTCCACAATTATAAAAGGTTTTTAAGTAAGATAGTTTAAAGAGACACGTGTAAAACATTTTCCCCTTATTTTACAATTTCATCGTACTATGTTACTTATATAGGAGCATTTTCCTTATATAGGAGTATTTGTTAAGAAAATAATTAATAGCGAAATATATTAGTGAGAATATATCTAAGAAATATATTAGTTTGTATTATAAGAAAAAAAAAATGCCGAGAGAAAAGGCTGTGTTTTTTTTATAAAGTATCTCTCTTTTGGCTTTGAAATTCTAAAATTCTAGGAAATAGTTTCTCTGTTTATAACTAGTAGTCTAGGATTTTCTGCAAATTAACTCTCAAAATTATTTTTGTTTGTAACTTTACCCTCGACTCTCTGCAAAAATGTAAGTCAACCCATGATATTTGAGTCAGACCGCTATATGGTTCGTGTAAGAATTCGACACGTAAGACAAACACAAAGAAAACAGAGCTTTGGAATAACAAAGCTTCAATTTCTGTTCAGAAGTTAGAACCATCTAAGTCTCTTCAATTTCATCGATTATGAAGCATCCTAATTTATGTTCTTTTTTCCCAAATTGTATTCCACTTTAAAGCACATGTCCAACATGTGCTCAAAAACAACAAGATTTTTGTTTCACTTTGTTACTCCAAAACTCTGCGTTTTAGTTTTCGTGTCCACTCTAGACACATGATCGATACAGACACATACAATATAGAGGTTTGACTCGAATTTTATGGATTGACTTGCAATTTCGTAGGGTTAGAGGATAAATTTGCAAAATAATTTACAGAAAACCTTTATAACTAATTTATTAGTTTGTCTTTTTGATTTTCACATATACAGTATTAAGAAAAACATTAAAACTTGATTATAAATACAAAATTTTACTCATTAAACGATAAACAATACTAGTATTTCAATAAATCCAATTATTTTTTCTGAATTTTGTAATTCATCATTATTAATTACTAAAACTTTGTATAGAAAATCTAAAAACAATCTATCTTGATGAAAAAAATGAATGTTTTTAGTAAAAATAGTAGTCTTTCACTAAATGTTATCTATTTTTCATTGAAGCAGGTTTTAATCATACAAATTATTCATGCATTTCTAAGCATAAGAGAGAATGGAACACGAAAATCTGAGATAAATAACCAACTCTTGGACGAGTTTTCTGAGTATACACAAAACACCTTCATATATATAAAAATATATGCTCATATAACTGTTCATTATATTCGTTCACCACTAAATTTGTTAGAGAACTCTAGCTAGTTACAACTTTGCACATGTTTTGAAATGCTATATGTACGAAAAAAACAGGAATTACGTATGAAAACCCATAGTCTTTTTTTAGTCAAGTTTATGTAGAGGTCGACCTGTTGTAGTGACAAACTAATATACATAGTCTATTTTTTTATAAATCAAAGTAATATATAGTCGGAAATATTAAAAACAGCATTCAGTAATCAGTCTAGAGGCCTTTTGTGCTACGAGATTTCAGCAAAAACATTACTCAGGAAAGAAAAGAAAAATAAAAGCTCTTCATTTACAGTTAAACAGAGTTTAAGGGAATAAGAGTATTAATTAAACAATCTGTTTGTTCGATTTTGGAACAAAGACGCCTAAAAAGGATTTTAGATTCAAAATAAAGGCTTTCAAATAAAAACTCATTCAAAAGCTTAACCGAATAAAAAATCCATAAATTCATGCAACAGTAATCGCAGAACCTTACTTCGTTTTGTTTTTGTTTTTCGTTTTCTTGAAGAGAACCGTACTAGGTTCTGTGTGTTTCCAGCTTGGATTGCGATTCATCCCATAGAAACAACCAGCATTAGAAAATTATAGTACCTTATTTGTCTAACCGCCCTGAAAACGAGCAGGAAAAATAGAGAAAATTGGGACTTACCGGCGTTGCTTGCGACGGTGACCATGAGGAACAAGCAACCCGCTAATAAATACCTTTTATTTAACATATTATATCTTTATACAAGCTGTTCTCTTAGATACTAAAATATAATTAAACTTTTCCCCAGAATCGTGGTAACCATAAACATTTAGATTAATTAAAGAACATTATGAAATAGTAAAATACTGAAAGGATTTTTATTACAGTAAAACCTCTATAAAATAATAATGTTGGGACTTTGAAAATTTGTTATCTTATAGAATATATTTTATTGATAAAGTAATAATTCTATCAAAAATAAGAAACTTTATAATTTTTTTTTTTCAGTTTTTTTATTTAAATTTTCCTTATACTTTGTTATTTACATATTTCATATTATGTAATTTTCTATTTTTCTTTAATGTAATAAAAAAACTCGAAATGAGCTTTATAACAATCCAACTTTCAGAAAATGACAAACTGTACTTGAGTCATATTTTATTAAATTGTCTTAGATATATATGGTTAAGTTTTATAATTATTATTTTAGCTTATTGTTAGAACTATATTTTTACATAGGAGTTTAAAAATATTATTATCTTATCATCTTATCGCATTTTGCTATTTTTTACATTAACTCGAGTTGGGACCGGAGAAATTAATTATCTTATAATGTTTATTATTTTATCCGGTATTACTTTATAGAGGTTCTACTGTATTTATCAATGATGTCTTATTGAACAAGTAAACTAATATTTGGAATTTTAACATCACACTTAGCTACTAGAGTACTAGTAATTTACTAGTTCAAAAACATACGACTAAAAGTTGAATATCTAGGTAACAAATTCTCCTGAATATAATATTTGGTAAGGCTAAATGTTTACGCGTACCGTATAATCGGTTTGGATTTCTAATTTCAATGGTGTTCACAACAATGTTTGTGAGGAAAAATTTATTATTTTTTTTTTTTTTTATCAAAGAAAACTTTTGGTGATTAAGAAATACTTGCAATTAGTTCATTGATATGTATTCCTTGACTAAGATGTGATTAATCCGGATATTGATCTCCACATTTCGTGAAACACCTCCACGTTGATTGCCTTTTGATCCATCTATATTGCTATAAATAAGAATACTTTTTCTTTAATTGATTGTGACAATGTTAATTTTTTAAATAGTAAAATTGTCCCGGATAGTATATAGAATGTATAAATGTTTATGCGTACCATGTTAGTGAAGAACAACTTTAATTCTTTTTTACTGAAGAAATATTTCGATTGGTAACTCCAAAATACAGATATCATGCATTACATTTTATATTTATCATGATTGAACTACGTGTTTCCTCCTCACGGAATTCTTGATCATGCCCTTGTAAAATTGGATCCTAGCTAGTGTCTGATTAATTGGTTTTCGTCATTCCCTTTCTTAGCTCAGAGGCGGATTTTGTCAATGAAATCATTGAAGAGCTGGAGAGAGTACGAAACGTAATCCCTATAGAAGAAAGGAAAGGTCACACTCTCGATTTTACTTCAAGAAATTTTTCAAGAAAGAGAGGGCAGGCAGCGAGTGGCCTCTATAATCAAACAAAACTAGAAAATTTTACTGAAAATGAATTCATTACTAAACACATGCCGGAAAACTTGAGGCGGATCACATGGGTGGAAGGAGTTACATTGGCAGGTTTGATCATAGCTTGTGGGAGCCTAGTGTCCCTAAACTACAGAAAGAAGTATCACAAGATTAAGTTGAAGGATCTAAGTAATTTTCGTCTTTAATGGCACAGATCAGAGGCCAATTTGATAAAAAAAGGTAAGGAAGTAGGGAAAGTTTTAACCATTCAATATGATGAAGGAAGAGAAGAGTCTGGAAAGAACGCGAAAACATGTCATGTCTCACTGGCTCTACCATGGACATGGTTTGGCTCTGTAGTTTGGCTGATAGGTCCAATACTTGGCTTAATAGCTGTTATAGTTCACAAGTGTGCCTCACCAGCCATGGTTGTTCTTGCTGGTCAGGTTGGCTCTGTTGTAGCTATTTCGAATCGTTGGACTGATAGGTCTTTATAAGCTTCACTTCCCGACTGCATAAAGAGATTTTGTTTTGATTCTCTGTTTGTTTTGTGGCTCCAATGCATTTGTTTACTTTTGATCTACTAATAAAAAGTCTCAATCTTTCCGGTGAATGCAAGTCTAAGTACATCAGAAATTGTTTTACAAACAAAAATGGAGAACAAATAATAAGCAAATGGTTATGAAGAACCAAACCCATAAGAAAACAACACACTCCAATTTGAATTATGTTATCATAAGAACAGAGTGCAAAATCTCATGTTCAAATCAAACATTACAAAAGCTTACATCGTTACATTGATTGCAACTTCCGAACCAAACCAAACTCAACGGAGGTAAGCCAACAAAAACTACTACATAATATAGCCGATATAAGTTTTTCCAACCACAAAACACAAGAAAAAACAGAGAACACAAATCAAAAGAAGTACGCCAATAACCTAGAAATAACTTGTAGCTTCAGCAGTTGCAGACATCACTTCACTCACAAGGCTCGACTTGCGCATCATTGACTTTATTTCTTCAGCAACAGACAGTCTCAACTCCTCTTGTATCTTGTCCTTCCTCTCAGCCGAAACCAAACTGGCGGATCAACAGCCAAGGTAGGTGTGGCACCTGCCCCATACTGATATTAATATTCCCCATACTGATATTAATATTTGTCTAGTAGAATATTAACAATATTGATTCTGTAGCCTAAGTGGCCAAACGTGCCCCATGTTAAAACACAATTGCTGGGTTCGGACCCCCTGGTAAATGCTATTTTTATTGATTTTTTTTATAGTTTATACTTTTTACTGGTTATTTTACTTATTTGTGCCCCATACATATTTTCTTTCTGTATCCGCCCTTCACTACAAGAAAACATCGATTTAGCCACTATAACAAATATCGCAAAGTAGTCGCAAATACAAATGTTGAAACTATTTCGCGATTACACAAAGTAGTCGTAAATCACTCTTCGCAAAGCCACACAGTCGCTTTTAGTTGCACATTTGAAACCAAAGTGCGACTACAATGTAGTCTTATTTTTGCGACTACTGAGAGACTCCGTGTTAAATATTACGATGAGTATACAGTAGTATCAAAATAGTTGCTCAAAAAGTGGCAATGAAGTCGCAACATTTTGCAACGGATTTAAGACTTCTTAAGTAGTGATAAAACGGTCGTTATATAATGTTAAGTTTTGGGACTGATTAAAGACTCTTGTGGATGTGGTCGCAAACACGTGACTAAATTTAACGACTCATTTGCGACTTCTTTATATATATATATTCATATATTATTTCATAATTTAATATTGACCATAGTCGCAAAAAAGTGTTAAATTTGTGTGACTACTTTGCGACTCCTTTAAAATATGCAGTGGCTAAGTTGTTGCTTATATTTGATACACATTGGTGATTAATTAGTCTTTTCTAATTCATGAAAAGTTAAATTGATTTATTAAATAATTAGTTTTAAAGAATGCTAAAACTAAAATTTAGAGACTACTAAACATTTATTAATAATCTTCAAAGAAAAATCATGTTTCCATTCAAAACACAAAACATGTGCACAACAAACATCAATTTACATTCACCAAGTTCTTGTTTCCAATAGAAACAACCAAAACCATGTTTCGATTCTAAACATGTGCACAAGAAACTCATGTTTACACTCGAACCAAAACCTTGAGTTTGACAAAATAAAAGAAGAGAGCAAATCAGGTGGGTTCTCTCGGTCAACGAGTACCTTCCTAAGTCGGAGTTGCCTCCTCTGTCGGAGTTGCTGCATGTGGAGATGCGTGAGAAAGGGTTGCCACATAGTCGGTGAACTTTGGATTCGTTGACTTCAGATAGCTCAAGACCATCTCCAGGTTGCCGATGCGGTCATGTTGCTGAGCTGATTCATCTTGCCGTGCAGCAATAGCCGCTGCCTGCTCTTCAGTTTTGTGTTGAGTAGCTTGCAACTGCTCTTGCATCTCCAAAATAGCACAAACAGTTGAGGTCCCTGGCCCTCCCTTCCTCTTCCCGTTGCCATAATGTCTCCGGAGACTACCAAGACCGAACTCTTGGCCTCTATTATCTGTTACCGTAGACTGCAAAAAAAAAACAAAACCATATCATGACAAAGTAGTAACCACAAACCACAAGTACATTTAACGCATCACATACATAAACAAAACAAAGACTGACCTTGAGAAAGACATTGTCTTTTCCAGCTGTGGTAAGCTCAAAAGAACAATCAGTTTCGTCATCCATGAGCTGAGACATCTCGTCCTCTAAGTTTTTTTCATACACTTCAGCAATATGCTGAGACTTTGGATCAACGAAACTTTCGTCAGGCCGTGTATGTGTCCTTATGAACACTTCTCGGATTGACATCGGTCTTCCAAGCTCTTTTTCCTTCATCACATATAAAAATTTCAGAGAAAGAGATCAAATTTAAAAATAAATGAAACCGTCTCAAATCCTAACAAACTGAAACATTACCAAACTAATGCCTTTTGTCAAACCAAAAATAACAATCCTAAGCAATCCCATGATACTAGGTCGATTCAATCTCACTTCACCATATAGAGACCATAATGAAAACAAATTAAGATATTGTTCAATGTCCCACTTTCTTACTAAACGCACAAGCAAAACATTTCACCACAAGAACCTAAGCCACGAAAATAACAAACAAAAGATGAAAGACAAGCATCAAATGAGGAGAACTTACCATATCTCTCTGAATGCGTGAATAGGACTTTTGTCCTGACCGATGTATGCGCCTTCCAAGTCCATCTTTCGGAAAGTTTATTGCATTTGATGCAGTAGAACTTCTCTCTTTAGCCTCCTAGGCGGACCAGTAAGCGCACATTGTCTCCCACAATGTTTCCCCAATCCAACTTCGTCAAACCCCTTTAGTCTTTGCTTTGGAAATCATGTCTTTCATCCGATTCAAAGCAATGACCTTGAATTCTTCTTCCATGAGTGAATGGATCAAGGGATCCCAATGGTATACTTGCTTCACAAATGAAAGAACATAGAATGAAATTAACAAAAAAAAACTAGTCTGATTAAGACAAAAATGAAAATATTTGGGGAAATGAAAGGGTTTAGTTTCATACCGCAAAGGATATGAAACACCTATCTTGAACATATGTAGGCGTTTTTGTCCAGCAGTAGTATGGACCATCAAACTTGCTTTTCCAAAGCTTCGATATTTTGCGAACCAATTTCCCATCATCCTGATAAAACCTACAATATGATAATAAATCACAAAGCCATTTCAATTTATGAGAAGAACACACAATCAAGCAACAAAATTTAAAAAAGAAAACTTATTAGCGATTACCATATTGTGTTTGCGGTGGGAAGAGGGTCCAAGATGGGTAAATAATCTGCACGACCTGGTGTTCGGAGCAAGTCATGGATACTTATCGGCGGATCTTGATGTGGTGGTGGTTGAGGTTGTTCCGAGAATTGATTCTCCGTGTGGACGGAACGGCTGTGGCTGTGGAGCAGAGCCACGCGGCGACGGCTGTGGAGCAAGAGTCGAGCCACGCGGTGGGATTGTCTCCGGAATAGGGCTCTGACTATGAGCGTATTGAATAGGGAGGGGCCGGCGATTTGAAGTCGGGGTACTAGTGTTTGAGGTGTGAGATGAAGCTCTTCCAGACGATGACCCCATCCCGCCGGTTATGCCGCCACGACCTTTTGAGATTTACCGGAGCCGACCATTGAGGAGAGAATGAGAGATTTGTCGAATTCGGGGGAAAAAACGAGAAATTGGAAAACAGAAAGGTAGAGATTGAGAGGGTGAGATCAATCGAGAGAGGTTTAGAATGAGAGATTTAGAGGCAGAGAGAAAGCGAAGAGATGGAGATACAGAACGGATCGATCGAGAAGTTGAAAATGATGAGGGATTTTTCGAGATGCAACAGATCGATTTCTCTCTCTCGAGAGAAGTGAAGCGGTGAGGGTTTTGTGAGATAGATGAAAAATAAATTTTGGGGTTTCAGGCGGAAAATTGAAAATAATTGGGGAATTTTCAGAAATATGAAGCGCCAACTTTGGCGATGACTTTGCGATGACAGGTTAAACAGGCAGTCGCAAATCAGTCGGAAAGAGCTAAAACTGTGTGACTTATTTGCAACTACTGTGAGTTATTTATTATGAATTTGGTTTTCCACATACCCTAACTAACCCCTAAATGATATATTTGCTATATTTGATTGCACAATATGTGTAATCTATTAATAATTGAGTAAATATAAATTGTTGAAATACTAAAAACAAAATTCCAATAACTTAGAACCAAATCAAATATGATTTGAAGATAAATCATGAAAATTGTGAAATACCATATTCAAAACCCTAAATCTGGAATAATTTCAACAAATTTTTATTTCTGTGTAGTAGTTATACAAGTATTGTAGTATTAGCATATTATTTTCCAAAAACTTAATAACATAAACCTTTTAGAGATTGAAAAAATGAATTGCAGTCGCAAATCAGTCGCAAAGTGCTAAAACTGTGTGACGTATTTGTGACTAGAGACGGTTTTTTTTTAATATATTTTAGTTCGGAGTCGCAAATCAGTCGCACTATTACTACGCATTAGCGACTATGTTGAGCTATTAATTATAAATATGATTTGCGATTGTAGGTAGTTATTATTTATGAAATATTGATCACACAAATAGTAATATAATTCCATAAAAAGCATTATGAGTATGTCTGATCTATATCTTCATCCTCATCATCATATTCATCTTCATCCGAAGATGATATGTTACACTGAAATTCATCTTCTTCTTGGGCATCTCCGACATCAAAATCAATTTCTTCTATTGGATTTTCTCTGTTCACCAGACTATCTATTATGATAGCTTCGATTGTTGTGGACACATCGTCGTCATTTTCTTGTTGAAGAAGAGTTGGTTCTTTATCCTTGTAATTCCCCAAAATATTTTCCCTTGGATTAACTTTCAGAACATTTAGCCACAACTTTTTTGGTTTAGTAACGTATGGATACGGTATGTAACAAACTTGATCCACATGAGAAGCTGCATGTACGCAAATTTTAATGAACGGTTATAAGTAAGTAATTGCAAAGTATAGGTGAAAACAAATTTAAAATCATGCTAAATAAAATTCACAAACCTACCGAGAATGAATGGTTCGTATATAGAATATTTTTCTGAGGAAAGAACATCGGCAACTCCACCCTTGCTCTTTTGAGTGCCTTTTTTGTCAGTAGGATCGTACCACTCACATTTAAAAAATGTGATCTTCAAAGATACCAATTCCATATATTGAAGCTCTAGAATCTCTGTTAAATTTCCGTAAAAATCAGATTCATCAGAGGCATCTGAGTAATTTACTCCTTTGACATATATTCTGTAGTTACATGTTCTTTTTCAGTGTCCGTATTTCCGTGTATGAAAAAAATGACCTCTTGTAAAGAAAACGGGCCAGAGTTTTGCTTAGTTTATAGGAACTTGCACAAGCTCTTGAACCCATACAGGAAACACTTCGGATTGATTCAAGGTTCTTGAACGAAGCTGCGATCACAATATAGTTAGGTATAAGCGTTATATAGATAATTAAGTACATATATATAGTTCTATATGTAGACGTAGGAAATTGTTAGTTTCTTTTTATCAATACATCATTGTCACATAGTTCGGGATATGTTAAACGAATCTGCTCTTTGAACAAGCTGATAATCAACACACGAAAATAAACATATGTTAAAATATAGATATTCATCAATGTGATAGTTGTCACTGAAAATGTCAATTACCTTTCAAGAGATCGAAAATATTCACAGTTTCGCAAGATGTAGTGATGGCGGGTTTAGATTGCCTCAAATTTTCACAATTTATAAACCCAACTAATGAGCTGCAAGTGCACAGCCGTGTTGTAGTCGGGGTCGAACACGAGGAGGAAGTGTTCTCGCTTAACACCTTGTGAGATTGGTTTGTAGCTAGCTCGCAATATGAGATGGTTTTGGACCTAGAATGAGAAAAAACAAAAGAGATGTGAGTGAGGTTGTAAACAATTTAAAACAAGAGTTAGGCAAAGGACAATCATATGGAGCAATGATGAAAAGATAGTTGCATGGGATGTGTGTAGAGCCGTCTTGAACATGAATCACTAGTGTATGGTCTTTCCACTGTCGTGGCTCCAACCACTATGTTTAAAACAACCTAATATACTCAGCTTTCGTTGGCTATTAGAATTGCAAACATGCATTAAAGGTGATCAAGATTCAATTGTTCACAATAAACCATAACTCAGCTTTCGTTGGCTATGATCTATTGCTCACCAAATACTAGTTTTGAGATCTAGATTCAGCACTGTCGTGGTTCTATTTCTCTAAGATCAGATTACTAGATGTACGGTAGAGTAATCATGCATTAAGCTCAAGTAAAGGTGAAGATCCATAAGATAAATCCCAATAAGTTGCAACACAATCAAATCATCACGGCCACCATAGATCTCCTCGGCCTAACTAAGAGATCTACTCGGCCATGATGCAAACAAGCAAGCAAAGCATGATTGTAAACATTATGCAAGTATTAAAAGAGATAAAGGGATGAAGAAAGCTTCTCTATTGATGAACAAAGTCGGATTCTCCCTTGAAAACTCTTAAATCAAGTTTATAGAAATGGAAACAATGAAAAAGAAAGAACAAGAGTTGAGCGGCGCCTCCTTCTTCTTGGACGATCTCCTAGGGCTTCTCTCCTCTGAACTCTCTTCTCACACGTACACTCTTTGATAATTTTCTGACTCTCTTCTTCAGCGGCTAAAAACATGTATATATGGGCGAAGTCGCGTAGGGTTTTCTTCATGCCGGAAAAGGAAAGTTTCCCGTGAGCAAAGCCTTCTTCTCCACGTCGTGTATGGGCCGACATTGTACCAAGGAAAGCTCCAAACATTAGCCAGGCCTCTTCTCTATTCGATCAAGGCCTTTGGCGCTGCTGCTCGGGCCATTAGACACTCCAAATCCTCCATGGGCTTCGTTTACTCGCTTACCGGACATGTCTCGGTAGAAAATAAGTCTAGGCCTCATAGTTGATCCAAATGGCTTCATTCCACTTCGACGTGATGCATGACTCAAGTATCTATCTTTCCATATCAAGATCGTAACTTTTGGACGTCGGGAACTCCTCCGCGCGCGGCCAAACTTCCGAAGCTTCGTTCTGCGCGCTAGCGAGAACTAACACTTGGAGATAAAATGATCTTCTTGACTTGGAAACTTGCATGGATCTTGATTTAGGGCTCTTTTACTCCTTTTTGCATCCTTTTTGATGGTTTCACCTACAAAGACTTCAAATCCCACAAATACAAGAAAACTACCTCTAAAGGCAAAGAATCTTGCAAAAACCGTTTGAAAACATAGTAGTTATATAGTAAAATCATGTAAAATATGGTGATATCATGTAGCCATGAGCGCATTGATAATCTTTCTCTGATAGCCAAATTTCCTTAACTTTTCCACGACCAACATGAGTAAATATATCGGGCACACCAGGAACTGGATATTTAGGAACTTCACCTTCATCGAATCTACTGGATCTAAACAAATAACATTAATTAATTAATTAATTAATTGAAAATTTTATTAGAAACAAATAGTTTTATCATTAATAAGTAATATATATGTAACATACCTTTTCTTTGTACGAATATGTGCGGCAAAGTAGTGCTCTGTAAAATAAGAAATCTCATCATTCAGATAGGACTGAACAATCGATCCCGCGGCATACCTTTCAAAAGGATACATCCATCTATATTGTACCGGACCTCCTAGTTCAGCTTCATACGGGAGATGTACAGGCAGGTGCTCCATCACATTGAGAAAAGCAGGTGGAAATATCATTTCCAAATTACATATATCTATCACTATGTTTTCCTTTAGCACTTGAACACGGTTTTGTTGCGAAGTTTTAGAGCATAAGTCACGCAAAAATCTCCCAATCCCGACAAAGAACAAATATAAAATGGTTATATATATATATATATTATAAATCATAAAGGTAATTAATAATAGAAAAATATAATAATATAAAATATTGTGTTAGAAGTACCTGATAGTGCAAGGTGAACGGGCTTTGGTAAAAGTTCTGCAAAGATAAATGGAAGTAGTTGTTCCATAAAAACATGGCAATCATGACTCTTCATGCCGGAAAATTTCCCTCCTTCTACATCTGCACAACTAGCTAAATCTGAAGCATAGCCGTCTGGAAATTTAACATCGTTTTTTAGACATTCCAGAAGCAGTTCTTTCGCTGGTGGAGTCAATCTAAAAATAGGAAATGGAGCTTTGCCTCGATTGTCCACATGTAGCTCTTTCCTGTCGCAAAAAAGTGCGACATCCAACCTTGACTTAACTGTGTCCTTCGATCTGTCTTTAACGTTCATAACGGTAGTCACGATGTTATCAAAAAAATTCTTCTCTATATGCATCACATCTAGATTATGCCGTAGATTGAGGTCTGTCCAATACGGCAATTCCCAAAATATACTTTCTTTGTGCCAATTATGCCAATCTCCCGTATCCTGGTTGTTTTGCTTCATGACCATTTCCACCGCAATCAGATGTTTTGAGAGGATTAATATGTCTTATTCGCTCATACAAAACTTACTCACCGGTAAGAGATTGAGGCGGATAGTCTCTTATAGCATGTTTTCCCTTCAAAAAACTTGTTTTGTTTTTCCTTAACTGATGACCATGCGGAAGATACCTCCTGTGACAATCAAACCAACACGTCTTCCTTCCATTTGGCAGTTGAAAAGCCTTTGTATCCTCCATGCAAATTGGGCAAGCTAATCTATGATGCGAGGTGGGTTAGTCTTCAAGTTTTACCCAACTTAAGTACCTGCAAGTGCACAGCAACGAGGTAAGTATAGTATGGGATCGAATCCACAAGGACCTATCGATTGTGCTACAAGAGTAAGAGTTGAAGCAAGCTAAAGCAAAATATGGTTTGAGAGTGTTTTGGCAATAATGAATAGATGGAAATGGATGAGATCAATAAGGGGAAACACTAGACAATGGTGAATCGCCGAGATGCAACAAACTTATACAAAGAAATCAAGTGAAAGGATTCAAACCGTTCTTGAACTTAAATCACTAAGATATAGTTTTCCACTTTCGTGGCTCCAACTACTATGTTTAAACAACCTAATAGACTCAGCTTTCGTTGGTTATTAAAAGTTGTAAACATGCATTAAAATGTTCAAGATTTAATTGTTCACAATACTCCACAACTCAACTTTCGTTGGCCGTGAACTATCGCTCACCAAATACTAGTTCCGGCAATATAGCAAGCTTTTGGAGAGTATATTAACCCTAGATCCGATGCTAGATGATCAGAAAAGCAAACGGCATTATGCTCAAGTAAAGGTGAAGAACTCAAAGTAATCCCAATTCACAAGATTCTCATTTATAGATTTATGCACTCATTGATCCACCACGGCCTAGTAAGGGATCTACTCGGCCATGGTGCAAACAAACAAACAAGATTTGAATGAAAGCATCATGCGAATATTAAAGAGAAAAAGGGATAAAGAAAGCTTCTCTATTGATGAAAAGATCGAATCCTTCCTTTTAACTCCAAAATCCAGGAAAACAAAAGTAACAAGAACAAAGATGTAACGAGTTTTGCGTGTTCGCGTGTGCGGCTTGGATCCGAGGAGGCTTCTCTTCTTCTTCTTGGGGGTATTCCTCTTCTTCTCTGACGGCGCACCTTCACACACTCTAGACTCTCGCGCTCAGCGGCTAAAAACATGTATATATGGGCGAAGTCGCGTAGGGTTTTCTTCATGCTGAAAAGGAAAGTTTCTCATGCGCCGAGCCTTCTTCTCCACGTCGTGTATGGGCCGACATTGTACCAAGGAAAGCTCCAAACATTAGCCAGGCCTCTTCTCTATTCGATCAAGGCCTTTGGCGCTGCTGCTCGGGCCATTAGACACTCCAAATCCTCCATGGGCTTCGTTTACTCGCTTACCGGACATGTCTCGGTAGAAAATAAGTCTAGGCCTCATAGTTGATCCAAATGGCTTCATTCCACTTCGACGTGATGCATGACTCAAGTATCTATCTTTCCATATCAAGATCGTAACTTTTGGACGTCGGGAACTCCTCCGCGCGCGGCCAAACTTCCGAAGCTTCGTTCTGCGCGCAGCGAGAACTAACACTTGGAGATAAAATGATCTTCTTGACTTGGAAACTTGCATGGATCTTGATTTAGGCTCTTTTGCTCCTTTTTGCATCCTTTTTGATTATTTCACCTACAAAGACTTCAAATCCCACAAATACAAGAAAACTACCTCTAAAGGCAAAGAATCTTGCAAAAACCGTTTGAAAACATAGGTAAATATATAGTAAAATCATGTAAAATATGTGATATCAATCTACCATGTGTCGTCCATCCTGACAACATGCCATAAGCTGGAAAATCGCTGATTGTCCATAGAAGCACGACTTTTAGATTAAAATTTTGATTCAGTGATATATCATAAGCCTCGACTCATGTAGACCACAATTCTTTTAACTCTTCAATCAAAGGTCCGACACCAAGACTAGCTCACGGATGTTTTGGCCCAGAGTTCAAAATTGTAAGAAATAAGAACTCTGTCTTCATACACATACCAGGGGGTAAGTTATAAGGAGTCAAGATCACAGGCCATAGCAAATGATTACGGGACATACCAAACCAAGGTAAACATTTCGGGGTCCCTCGGCGAAGCGAGGATGTAGTTGTTGAATTTTTTTCCACTCAGCCGCATATGAAGGATGACACATTTCTTCTTCCGCTGATTCATGCTCAGCATGCCATCTCATTGCTGATGCAGTCTTCTCGCTCTGGTACAAACGCTTCAGTCTGTCGCCAATAGGTAAATACCACATACGGTTGTATGGTATTTTGGTTCGTCCATCGCTGGGCTTATATCTTGGTGCTCCGCAAAATTTACATGCATCCCACTTTTCATCTTCTCTCCAGAAGATCATACAATTCTCAATACACACGTCAATTGTATGATATGGGAGGGCTAGATTCCGCATCAATTTTTCCATCTCATATATGACTCAGTTGCGTGGTTTTCGTCAGGCAATAACTCTGTTATGAGTTCTGCCCATAAATCCACACCCCTTTCAGTCATATTATTATCGGCATGAAGGTTCATGTACCGAGATGTTAGAAATAATTGCGAGTGGCCTTCATGACAACCATCATACAATGGAGTTTTTGCAGCATCTAACATGTCGTAGAATTTTTTGGCCTCACTATTTGGTTCTTCTGCATTTTGATTACCCTGATCCTCTTGATAATAATTATCAATATTGGAGGTATCAGGAAATGCATCATTCACCATTTGGACATATCTATCTTCCACATTATCGTCTTCTACGTTAGCATCTTCTGCTTGATTACTACTACTAAAACTTGTATCAACATGACTTGTTCCTAAATCGACATCCAGTTCTTCCCCATGCATATACCATATATAATAATTTTCCATAAATCCTCTACTATACAGATGGTTCCAAATTTTACGCCCCGTAAGAAATTTATCATTATGACAATTATACAAGGGCAATAAAACTTACCACCACTGCTAAGCGCTAATGGCTGACTGCTTGCAAAATTCATGAATTCTTCTACTCCTGAAGCGAACTCGGCCGAAATATTTCCCGTACGCCCATCGATTCTATTATACATCCACTCTCTAGAATTATGAAAATTATAATTTCCCACCATTTTTTTTGAATGATTTGTTTCTCTCTACAAATCAAGTTGAAATTGTTTTCTTTATTTGAGAAGAAAGATTGTATGCTATATATAGAGTTATTTGCTACTACTTTGTGACTACATAGTTACTTATTTGCGACTACAAATTTAGTCGCTCTAAAAAATTAGTACACCAACCTAACAACTTACACACGAAAGACATGTGCTTAATTATATAGACACTAATTTGACACTATCTTGAGACTACAATCTCTAGTCGCAAACAAGTAGCAACTCTAGCCACTCTTTTGCGACTACTGTAGTTAGCGACCACATTTTGCGACTACAATTTTGTGACTGGCTTTGTCGTTGCAAAACGATGATTAATTAGCTACGTTTTTGCGACTAACACATTTCGTGCTACATTAGTCGCAAAAAGGTTGCAATTTTGGGTCAACGGATCCGACCCAAAGGTTTTTATCTCTTGAAGCAAAACGATTTCGTCCTCCTCACTCCACACGCTCTCAAAATTTGAGTTTGTGTTCTCTTCCGTTTTGACACGTTTCGTGTCCACATCTCTTGATGGGCTTCCTTCTTCCAGAGGCCTCTTCTTGTTCTCCGTCTCTTCCTTCTCTTATGTCTCAGTCTCAGCTATGGCGAGAGAAGCAGCTGGATAATGTGTTGGAGTTTGGAAAACGAGTCTCTCTTGCTCATGAGTACCTTTAGTTTTGAATTCAGTCCGGTTCCTGCCGTTTTGGTTTAAAATTTTGGGATTCCCACTAGGTTAAAATGTTGAGTAGACCTATATTACGGTCTACTAGATTACTCTACTGGTTAGGTCTACTTTACCCTAAACCCTAAATCGAAAAATTTGGATACAATTTTGCAATGATTTGCTTGCCATATTGCCAGTGTATATCACAAATAAACGAACATTGAATCGTAAAACCAATCAAAAAAAATTATTCATCTAACATTTTTTAAAACCCTAAAACTTACACCATTGAACCCTAAACAATCTACTCAAACTCTTATCCTTATGAACTATATACTCATGATACTTATAGATTCATGAATTTTTCTGATATTTTATTTTTAATAGATGTCAACTGTCTATAATTTCGCTACTTGTGAAACAAATATTTCAATTTTTTTTTTATATATTTTCTTAATTTAAATTTAAGATTTGATGATTTAGTAGACCTACTTGGTAGACCTCCCATGGTTTTATAGGCTTTTAACCTAATTTGTTTTTTTCATAGTTCAATTGGTTCAAATCTATGAAATTATATTTTATATAGATGCAAGTTGTCTGTATTGTATTTATGTATAAAACATTTTCATCAAATTATTTTTTTACAAATTTTATAATTAAAATTAAAATGTAATGACATAATAGACTTACTCGGTAGACCTCACACATTTTTATAGATATTAACCTACATGTCTTTGCTTATCTATAAATGATTCATTTGTATGCATTCATATTTTTGGTAGTTGATAATGTCTATATTATAATTATTCATACATGTTTTTGTATACAAATATTTTTTATTGAATTGTTAATTAAAATTTAAGATGTTATTACGAGGTAGACCTCCAATATTGTCTACCAGGTAGACATCCGCGGTAGATCTACCGGATCCGGAGGTTAAAATCGTAATCGAGGCATGCGTTTTTTTGTTTGGTCATGAGGGAGTGTGTGTGGGTAATTTTACTACCCATAGAGGTTACTTTTGCATTTGATTCAATTTGTGATCTAGTTGACTATAAAAAATGAAATTGTGGTCTAGATTTAGCAATTCCCCCAAATTAACCCATTATTATAAATTCATTATATATGGGAATATGGCTGATAAAAACGCCAAAGGTCTATCGCTGCACTTTGTCACTGTCACACGCACGCAAATAAATGAAAAACGAGCATGACCGAAGTACCGAACCACCCAAGGTCGTCGATACACTCTGTCACTATCACCCGCTAGGGTACTTTCGTTGTTTGAGTCATAGAAACATTACGCATGTGACATGTTTGCACCAAAAAACATTACGCATGTTGTTATTTGTTTTTGGTATTATCCACTGTGTCTTTTTTTGCTTCCTGCTTTAATTTATATAATTTGTGGAATGATTCTTGTGGAGTACAAGATTTTCCCCAATATATAAAGTATATATAAAAAGATCAACGGAGAGCCGACATTTCGTGTTATTTTTTTCTTTTTTCTTTTTTATAATCGGAGGAGCCGACTTTTCATCACTTTATATGCTTTTCCTCACAACTGTTATATATACCACCAATTTTTCGTACATCTTAAGTGGAGATAGTTCTAACATCACCTTATTTCAACCAAACTCGGAAATATCTGTGATGGCCATTCTATCTCGTCGCGTACCTCAAGTGTTCATCAACTTCCGGGGAAAGGATATTCGCTATGGCTTCGTCAGTCACCTTATAGATGCCTTGGAAAGACATAACATCAAGTTCTTCATAGATACGCATGAACAAAAAGGTAGAGACCTGAATCACCTCTTTAAAAGGATCCAAGAGGCCACTGTCGCCCTGGTCATCTTATCCACCAGGTTATGTTTGTTCTCAATATATATAGCAACTTAAATTTGTTATCACCCTTAAAAGATTATAATCAACCAAGGCGATCCACAAGAAAAAAAAAATCATAAAAGTACTTTTTATCCCCCAAAACAAATATTCACAAAAGCGATAAGCAACTACTTGTATCTTCATATTTTTGGTAGTAGCAATGTTTCTACCATATATCTCTAATTTTAACTATATATTACAATATTGCTTACCGCTTTTCTCTTGATCATGCTAAAAGTTTAGATCCATTACTATTTTTTGAATAGGTACGCATAATCAAAATGGTGTTTGGATGAGCTAACGACGATCATGGAACAAGCCGAAAAAAGGGAAATGGTTGTCATCCCAATCTTCTATAAGGTGAAACCAGAAGATGTCAGAAAACAGAAGGGAGTGTTCGGATATAGGTTTTGGAGACGTAGCGAAGAATCCGGCCGTGAAGAGATAGAGAAATGGCAAGTGGCTTTGAAGGCTGTGTCAAACAAGATTGGCTTCACGTTGGATCACAATAGGTATAAAATAAACTCTTTAATTTTCTTTCATTCATTTGAACGTAAGAAACCCTAATTGATTAGATTTTCACGGAAATTGAACAATATCATGTATGTAATACTTTGGAACAGCAACATTCATACATGATTTGATGTCAGCCATGCATGTGACTTTATTCTTTTCTCGGTTTTTTTGTTGTTACAATCGCCCACTTATTGAAAAAGTCAACGCTTTGCGGGTTTAGTTGATCCAATTATTTTTTCCATATAGAAACTAAATTGGATATTATGGATCGAAAAGTTGCTGTGAAAATGTGCACAACTGCAATGGGTCGGATTTTCACCGAGAGGCACTAGACATGAACTACACAGAGATATAAAGAGGGTGTAACCGTGTAAGAACATATTCGACGAGAACACAAAACGCCGAATCGTTAGAAATTTTTATGAAATATCCAGATTAAAAGTTACGTGATGGTGGTGCCGACATAAAATAAATTACATGGTAATTGTTATCGTTATATAGATTTTGCTACATTTATTTGAAACTTCTTCTAATAAGTAATAACTGAGTGGATAAGCATTTTTCCCCCTAAATAAGGTAATAGAAAATTTTACATAAGAAAATGGCAATGTATTGACTATTGCATATTTGCATTGACATCGATTTTTTTTGTTTGGCGCCATTCATCTTTAAAAAACAATTTGAGCATAAACCGTTTTTTCTTTTCTTTTTCAGAACACGAATTTAACACATGCGCAGGTTTTTTTGTATCTACGAAGATGGTAAACAAGGAAACATGACACTTCTCAATATATATATATATATATATATAAATAGATATCTTTAGATTTAACTGCTATGCTTTATTGGTAAGTAATTTTTTATTGATATTTTAGAAGCGTATAATTTTTTTATTGGTTCAAATCTCATTTTGTTTCATTTAAAAAAATAAATAAATGATAAACATTCTTAGTTATCTATTAAAATGTTTTTTATTCTCTTTTTTTTTTCTGAACCAATAGTTTGATGAAGAGTAGTTTATAGGTATGAGACTAAACTAGTTTATTTAAGGCTCCAGAAATAATTAAAATTTTAAAGATAAGCATTAAAATAAAGATAGATTTTCTACTTTTAAATTTTCAGTAAATTCGTAAAAAAAAAAAAAATCAGTAATTAACATATATTTATCTAGAAGAAAAATAGAATAATATTCGAATTTCATTTTTGGTTTTCAATTACTATTATTTCTTTGTTTGAATAAGGTTAAAAAGACTTTTTACATATTAACAAGTATAGTTTTCAAAAAACAAAAGGGTAGTTGTCAAGTATTAATTCTTAAATAAGGCATTATGCCAAGAATCACATTATTTAACGAAAAAAACAAACTTAAAAAAAATCAAAACTTATTTATGAATAATCCAAAATTTTTATCTTAACCTATAACTTTTTTTACTATATTTTAGATTCATATATATATATATATATACTAGATTAAGGCCCGCGTATACGCGGGTATATTTTAAGATTTTATAATAAAAGCATGGAAAATATTAAACAAAATTTGATCATTTTTAAACGTAAACAAAATAATATTGAAAACCCGATAAAAATATTTAAATAAAATAAGATTGGTAATACTTTTACATTTTTATTGTAATTGATTTTTCTTTTGAATTTATGATATGACAAAATGAATTAATTTGTTTTACTATTATTTTTATCCAATACAGAAAGACTTACACATGTCTAAATCTGATCAACTGATTAATTAATCAAACTTTTATTATTCCATTCAAGAGATTTTAATTGATGAAATCTTTATTTCAATTTTTTTTACCTAACAAAAATTGAAAATCAAACTATTTAAAATTAGAATATCAATTATAATTTTTTAATATTAGTTAATTGCTTGATAATTATTTTGTTAGTTTTCTATTTATATTTTTTCTTTCTCAATTTTGTTTTTGCCTCGACCATTATAAATACTATATATTGGTATTTTTCCTTTTCGAAATGGATTTTTTTCCTTTTCTTAATAGATGTAACAAAAGAATTTAAATTATTTGTTTCCTGTTTTTTTATTACTTTTAATGGATGTATTATTTTTTTCATTTTAATTATTTGTTATCTGTTTTTCTAATTTTTAGTTAGTCTTATACATATTAATTTTTTATTATTTTTATTCCATGACACATGTTACGATCTTCATACTTCCAGAATTTTTTTTTTCTAAAACACATGTCGCAATTTTGTCAGTTATAAAAATCCTATGTATCGCAAAACTTTCAAAAACATGATTTTTAAATTGGAGAAATAGAATCAAAGGGATTTGATGAATTTGCTTTGATGAATTTATGATTGAGAAACTTGACTCTCTTTTATAGGGGTTCAAGTAACCTATTACATGCAGTTATAGGAAATTTAGTTTACATAACATATTCCATGTACAAATAGGATTTTATTTATTACATTATTTTGATTTTATTATTTGTTTGGATAATATTAATTTGATGAATGGGAAACCTTTCTCTATTAGGATATGACAAATATATTTTTATTTCTTTTAACTGTAATGGATTAATTTTTTTAAAAAAATTCCTTTATCTAAATTTTTTATTATTATTTTTTTTTTTTCTCTAAGACATGTGTCACGATCTTAACGGACGTAACATTAAAAGTGACACATGTCGCGATCTTATAAATTATAAAAATCCTATGTGTCGCAACCACGTCGTGCGCATCCAACTTTATATAATAAAAAATTGATGAATGGAAACCTTTTTCTGTTTGGATATGGCAAATATTATTTTTTCCTTTTTGATATAATAGATTAAATTAAATTTCGTTTTTTTTAATTAACATTTTTCTGGAATTTTTTTTTTTAAGTTCTCTTTTTCCTAAGACACGTGTCACGATCTTAACGGACATAAACTTAAAAGTGACACATGTCGCGATCCTGAATTTTATAAAAATCCTACGTGTCGCAACCACGTCGTGCGCATCCAGCTTTATATAATAAGATATATATATATATATATATATATTGATATTAAATTTATGTTTACACAAAACGATGGTCATTTTTTTTAATTAGGGTTCAATGGTCAGAATTTATTTTCTTAGAAAAGTACATAGATCTAAATTAATACATTTTCTTGAAACTTAGAGGGTGTTATTGAATTATAAATTTAAATCAATTCTCTGGGTTTTATCATCTTTAAGAATTTAAATTTTGATATTATTTTAAGAATCCATGTGGTTTATAAAATCTTTGCACTATTAATCAGATTTTGTTTTTAGTAATTTACTCGTACAGCCCCCATGAAATTCATTTCAAATGATTCAATACATAAAATTGTAAAAGTAGTTTAGTTTTTAATTAACACTAGATGTTAATAGCATCCAGAAAAATTATTTACTATAAAAAGGATTCTGAACAGATCTAGGTCCCGATTGGTGTCAAGGATTTTTATATTTTCTAAGGAATTTATTTTATTTATCATACTTTTATGATTGTATCTTTTTCTAAGGACTTGAAACTTTATTTTACATTTCTTTTCACTTTTTCTTCTTTGTTTTAATTATTTTCTAAAGCCTTGATCCATGTGTGTGGATAATTTGAAAAGTATCCATAATATAAATTAAACGGGCCTCAAGATAAGATTTGGCTCGTTAGAAAATGGGCCAACCATAATTAAGTCGAAGGATCTCAATAATTTTCATCTTTCATGTTGTCACAGATCGGAGGCTAAGCTGATCAAGAAAGTCGTTAAGGAGGTTGGGAAAGTTTCAACCACCATTCAATCTAAAACATATAACGTCCCCCTGGCACTGCCATTGGCATGGTTTGGCTCGGCGGTTTGGCTGATAGGTGCAGTGCTTGGCTTACTCGCTGATACAGTTCACAAATGTGCCTCACCAATCATGGTTGTTCTAGCTAGTCAGGTTGGCTCTGTTGTGGCTATTTCAAACCGTTGGACTGATATGTCTGTATAAGCTTCACTTCAAGACTGCATAAAGAGATTTTGTTTTGATTCCCTGTTTGTTTTGTGGCTCCAATAGTTTGATTAATTGTTTTGTGGCTCCAATGTCTCAATTTTTTTCCGGTGAATGCAAGTCTAAGTACATCAGAAATTGTTTTACAAACAAATGGATGCCATAAGAAAATGATTATGAAGAACCAAACACATAAGAAAACAAATGCAAGTCTAACTCCAAGTTGAGTTATGTTATCATAAGAACAGAGCGCAAAATCTCATGTTCAAATCAAACACTACAAAAGCTTTAATCGTTACATTGATTGCAACTGCCGAACAAAACAGAACAAACCGGAGCTACGCCAACAGAAACTACTACATAATAAAGCCAATAAAAAGTTTTTCCAACCACAAAACAAAACAAAACCGAAAACACAAATCAAAAGAAGAACGCCATAAAACCTAGAAAACCCTAACTTGTAGCTTCAGCAATTGCAGACATTACTTCACTTACAAGTCTTGACTTGCGCATCATTGACTTGATTTCTTCAGCCACAGACAGTCTCAACTCCGCTTTGATCTTGTCCTTCCTCTCAGCTGAGACCAAACTCCATCCTTCTTTCACTCCCTTTTCTCCCAAACCAAAGCTTGCAACGGAACCAAGAAGAAATGATTTCTCAAACCAACCTTCACATCGGTGAGTCTTCATCGCCATGTTCTTCATCTTTTCTTCTTCTTCCACGATAGATCCCCAAATCTCTTTAGACAATTCAAAACGTTTTTTATCGTGAGGTGTCTTGAAATCCACCACTTCTTTCTTCACTTCATCTCTGAATTTCTGTTTCAGTTTCTCCATCTTCAATGCCAGTTGAGACAAGGAAAACTCAAAGCTGATCTTGGGCTTGAGCGACTTGCGAAATATTTTCTTAGCCTTCAACTGAACCGGAATCGAGCCAAAGGTCTTTATCTCTTGAAGCAAAACGATTTCGTCCTCCTCACTCCACACCCTCTTGAAATTCGAGTTTGTGTTCTCTCCCGTTTTCACACGTTTTGTGTCCACGTCACTTGATGGGCTTGCTTCTTCCAGAGGCCTCTTCTTGCTATCCGTCGACTCTTCCTTCTCTTGTGTCTCAGTCTCGGCTATGGCGAGAGAAGCAGCTGGAGAATGTGTTGGAGTTTGGAAAACGAGATTCTCTTGTTCATGAGTATCTTTAGGTTCTTCTTTCTCCTCGTCATGTTCCACGGGTTTCTTGGTTGGCTTCTCTTCTGGACTCAAGTCTCTTAAGCTTCCTTCTTCTTGGATCGGTAGCTTCTTGTTCTTCTTCTTCGTCTTCCGTGAAGTTACAGCAGCAGCAGAAGACGTCTCGGCATTCTTGTTCTTCTTCTTCGTCTTCCGTGAAGTTACAGCAGCAGCAGAAGACGTCTCGGCATTCTTGTTCTTCTTCTTTATCTCTGCCACTGAAACTATCTTCTCCGGGATAGAATCTGGATCTGCGGCAGCAGAAGCTGTTGGAGAAGATGATGGAGCTTTGACGAGCTCCTTCTGTTTGCCTTTCGATTTTTCCACCGCCGTGGAATCTTGCTCCGTCTCGTTTTGTTCCACTGGCTTATTTTGCTTTTTCGCCATTTTGTGAAATGGAGAGAACGAGAGTGAGAGGAATTAGAAAGAGGAAAGTTTTAGAGAGAGAGAGAGAGTCTATGAGAGTAGATGAATGATGATCTATTCATTCCAAGAGAGTACATTATATATACAATGAGAGAGCTACACGACTAGGTACTATATAATAATGAGAGTATATTCATTTGACATAAGTAGCACCGTAATGGAAACAATCAGAGATATGCTAATCTCCTCAATATGAGAGACTTAAGTGAGATCTTTCAAAGTGAATTTATGGAGGTTAAATTTATGGAGATTTGTGTTGATCTCTTTGCGAATCTTGGTTACCACGTTAGGGTTTATTGAAAGAAGATAGAAGAACCAAGTGAGTGAAGAGGCAGATGTATCTCGCAAAGAACAGATCAATGGCACCATGCTCGTGTAGTCTGAAACATTAAATCAGTTAAACAGACAATGATTTTCTTAGGTGCAAAGAACAGATAGAGTATGAATTTCTTTGATTCTGATGAAATTCTATAAGAAATCCGAAAAACAGAGCAAGAAACATAAACTTCCGTTAGTTGAAAGATTTGGAGAGAAATGAATGTAGTAGGCAAATGATTATGATAACTTTCCTTGTGAAATCTGATTTTGAACAAATTCAACATGATCATAGAGATCATTACATAATCTTTTGTCATAGACAGTTTTTACTACTAAGAGGAGAAAACTCAGAAAACAAAAAGAACGGCAAAAAGTTTCCGAGGTTGAGAATTGGAAACAGATAGACTTAGTAACCGCCCTTGAGATCGTTGACGACATCGTAAGGAATGGGAGTGACAGTCTCCAATGTCATGCCTTCGACCATGAAACCTGGCTTTGGACCTTTTGGTTGTCTCTTTGTGCTGATTGTCTCTCCTCTAGCTTTAGCTGCAGCCTTGAGCACATCGTTGTTCTTCTTCCTCAGTATAAACTCCTCTTCACATCTTGACTGCTGCACGTGCTCCACACGCACATGGATCCTCTTCCTTATGATTCTGTTCCCAATCTAAACCACAAAACGCATAAGCAACAGTCGAAAGTTAGCTCTACGAGAAAATTCATTACATCATAAACACTAACAATTCAGACACAGATTCTCACTATAATCATTGTGGAACAAACTGATACAAATAGCAAACACAAATCTTATCAAAAGAAGGACGCCAGATAAAAATGTTCTTGAATCCTATGAACCAAAAAACAAACCAAATTTCAACATTTAAAAAGATAGCTCAACAAATCAAGAAATCACAATCCAATCTCTTCTAAAATTAATTCAACAATCAACACATATTAAATCCTGTTAACTGACAAGTCAAAATCAAAACTTTAACTTAACATTTTGGATTGAGTGACTACAACAAACAGCAGAACCAAATCCATTTCAAGATAAAGTAGCATTTTACTATCCAGAAAAAAAACTTCAATCCTATTAACCAATACAAGATCGCACATTTCAACATTTGAAACAGATAACTCGACATAAACCAAATAATTAACCAAATCATGCATAAAAAGGACCCAAACAATCCAGAAAAAGACTTGAATCCTATGAACCAATAAGCAATCGCACATTTCAACATTTGAAACAGATAACAATCCAATCCAATCGACTAAACCCATATCAAGGAATAACAATCCAATCTAACCCTAATTACACTTTCTCAAACAGTCACGAATCACAATCCGAACGCAAAACCAAACAAAACTGAACAAAATTCAAACATTTACAGACCTGTTTGTTGACTTCGACACCGACGGCGCGTTTGGTAACGTTCCAGATTCGGCCGGTACGTCCATGGTAGAACTTGTGAGGCATACCCTTGTGGATAGCTCCGTTAACCTTGACATCGACGTAATCGCCGACTTTGAAAGTCCTGAGGTAAGTCGAGAGTGGGATGTAACCCTTCTTCCTGAACGGTCTCGCGAAGAGATCTCTCGTTCTCGCCCTCACTCCGTGTCCCGCCGGCATTTTTCCTCTCTCTCTGTGTCTTGTGGCTGAAACCCTAGAAACGATTCGGGAAGATGAAGAGATTGATTAATCTCAGATTAGAGGCTTTTGTGTTCTTGGGCCTATTGGGCTTCTTGTTTATGTCCTTTCGATCTTGTTGGGTGGTGAGAGTGAGAAATCAGAAATGACACCATTCAGTTATTCTTAAAATAAAAAATCATATTTTAGAAAAAGAAAAAAATTTCATTTGATAACTATCACCACAATCATTGATACAAATGATCAAGTAAATCAATGCATCTACAATGGGAAGAGTAAAGATTTGAAAATATTTTAGAAATAAAAAATAAATTAAAATTCTATACAAGAATGAAAAAATTAGACATAAATTCAAGATAATAAATAGCAATCTATAATTTGTTTTTGATAAGAACACATAACAAATTTGTTAAACTCCATTATTTATTTAAAATAACAAAATCTAGAAAAATAGCTATCAACAACTCTTCCAAAAATGATTATTAAAATCTAAGAGTAAACTGCTAGATTTTGATTATTATTTTTTACTCATGGAGTTAATTTTAAATGGTTTCAAACTTTTAGTTTCATGTAAAAGAAACTGTGGGAATCTATCATACTTGACTAACACAAGACTTTCGTTAATTATTTCAAATCCTTAAGTGAATAACAATGGATTTCAAACACTTTTAATAAAGGAACTGTATACAGTATAAACTCTATAAATTAATAAAGTTGGGACTTTGATATTTTATTAATTTATAGAGTTATTAAATTATCAATTTTGAATAAAATAGATGTTTTATTAAAAAATTAATTAAAATAAATATTAAATTAAATAAAAATAAGAAATTTTAAAAGTTTTTATATTTTGTATAGGTTCATTCTAAAATTAGGGATGAATTCTAAATATATTTGAGTTTTAGTATTCTAAAATTAGGGATGAATTCTAAATATATTTGAGTTTTAGTAGAAAAGAAGTGAAAGTTATACTTATATTTTAGTATATTATCATAGATATGTATTTACATAAATTTTATTTATGGTAATTATTAATTTATGATATTAATGGGACCATATATTTACATAGGAGTTTCAAAAATATTATTATCTTATTATTTTATCGAATTTTGCTAATTTTTACACTGACCCGACTTGGGACCGGAGAAAATTATTATTTTATAGAGTTTATTAATTTCTTATCGAATATCAATTTATAGAGTTTGTACTGTATATAATAACTTAGAACAATAGATTTCAAACTCTTTTAATACAGATATTGTATTTGTATATACAGTATTCAATAACATTGGAAATTTATGAAAGCATTTAAAATTAAGTATTGAATAACAAGGGATTATGGTTAAAAAGAAAATGAAAACTCTATCAAATTTCATGATTGTATAGTAAAAAAACACATTCTTATCTTACCTTGTTTTTCTCCTTTATATACGTTACCCAAGACAAGAAAAAAAGAAGCAAACCCAAATGGTGTCAAGAACGCTTCCGTTGGAGTTAGAGGAAGAGATACTCATTAGAGTTCCACCTCCATCTCTCGCTCGCTTCAAAGTCGTTTGCAAACGATGTAACACTCTTTTCGACGATAAGAGATTCGTTAAGAACCATTGCGCTCCCTCATGCTCAGAATTCATGTTACAAACCGATTCCAAGATTTATTCGTTAAGTTTCCCTCATTTGATATTCCCGGTTTAGGCTTGGAGAACTGCGATGGGTTCTTCTTCTCAGATGACAATAAATGGATCCAAACATACCTGATGCGAACAGACTCTTTCTGGTCAGTAAAGAAAAATACATCTTTGGGTTCATGGGTTTGGCGGAAACTATTGAAATACAGAGACTTAGCTAAGTCGTTCTATAAGGTAGAGGTGAATAATGGACGACGAACATCTTTCTGGTTTGATAACTGGTCTCCGATGGGTACTCTGTTTGATATTACTGGATGTCGTGGATTCATAGACCTAGGTATTCCCGCCCGTAGCTCGGTAGCGGAAGCTCTCTCAAAACTCCGAATCAGGAATCACAGACAGGCACATCTTAGAGCAGTGCAGAACATGCTCCAGACCTACCGTGATAGACAAGCGCGGGAAACAGAGGACACTGCGCTCTGGAAATACTCTACGGAAGTGTTCAAACCTTCCTTTAACACAAAGAAGACGTGGTTGCAACTACGGGACACTGGTCCTATTATGGAGTGGCATAAAGGTGTCTGGTTTACTCACTCTACGCCCAAATTCTCTTTCTTTGCCTGGTTAGCGCTCCACAATCGCCTAGCGACGTGTGATCGTATCTTGTCCTGGAGCCCTGGTATCAACCCTCTGTGTGTGTTCTGCCAACGGCAACAAGAAACTCGGAACCATATTTTCTTCACCTGCGGCTACTCTAGTGAGTATGGGGTGCTTTAACCAAGGGTCTTCTAAACGGTCCTATAGCTCAAGATGGGATTCTATCGTCTCCTTTATCTCAGACTCTCGCCACCCGCGGATTCCTCTGTTTCTCGTCCGATACGTGTTTCAGTCCGCGATACATACCTTGTGGAGGGAACGCAATTCACGTAGACACGGAGATCGACCACAACCTCCGGCCAAGCTTACTCGTATCATAGATAAGACTGTTCGGAACCGCATCTTGATGGAGTCGAAGATGCAAACCGACGAGTCTCAAACCGAATCAAGAAACCAAACCAGAAGTATGCGGTCTGACCAACAACTCTGGTTTTATCTTTTCAATTGTTTTATTTGACTTTCAAGTTGTTTCAGTTAATAATGGAGTTAAGATGCGTTGCTCGAGCATGAAACGGAGGCTCCGTTGGTCAGATTGGATGATGAAACGACGGCCTAGTAAGTATGGTCTCCAAGTACGAATCGCGATGACTATTGCTAGCATCTCGCGTGCGTAAGTAGACCAACTCCGTTTTGCCACACCCAAGGAACGGCTCATGTAGGCGATCGGTCTGCCTTGTTGAGAGAGAATTGCTCTGATGCCGTCACCGGAGGCGTCTGTCTGGATGATGAATGGCGACGAGAAATCCGGCAAGGCGAGTATCGGGGTCGTGGTCAGTGCAGATTTGAGGTGGTTGAAAGCTTCCTCGTCTGCTCCAGTCCACTCAAATTTTCCTTTTTTCAGAAGATTTGTCAAGGGTCGGGCAATGATACCGTAATGCTGGACAAATTTTCTGTAATAGCCGGTGAGGCCCAGAAAACCCCGAAGCTCGGTGATGGTTGTTGGTGATGGCCATGCTGTCATCGCCTGGATCTTAGATTGGTCCACCTTCACGCCATCGCCCGATATTATATGTCCAAGATATTCGAGCTCCTGCTTCCCAAACTCACACTTCTTCAATTTGACAAAAAGACGGTGTTGTTGTAGCAGACGCAGAACCTCACGGACATGAATCAGGTGTTCCTGTCTAGACTTACTATAGACTAGTATATCGTCAAAGAACACAAGAACGAATTTCCGGAGATGATCACGAAAAACAGAGTTCATCAAGGATTGAAACGTCGAGGGTGCGTTACAAAGGCCGAAAGGCATTACCAGATATTCGTAATGGCCATTGTGCGTGCGGAACGCTGTTTTGGGGATATCCGGAGGATGCACTCGAACTTGATGATAGCCAGCAGTAAGATCCAGTTTTGTGAAGATGGAGGCGCCATGGAGCTCATCTAGCATATCATCGACCGTGGGGATGGGAAAACGGTCTTTGATCGTAGCTTTGTTGAGAGCGCGATAGTCGGTGCAGAAGCGCCAGGATCCGTCTTTCTTCTTGACTAGGAGCACCGGTGAAGAGAAAGGGCTAGAACTAGGTCGGATAAGGCCGGAGCTAAGCATTTCCGTCACCTGAGATTCAATCTCTGCCTTCTGAAAGTGTGCGTACCGATATGGTCTGACATTGACAGGATCCGAGCCCTCCTTAAGTGTGATGTGGTGTTCTATGGCACGAGATGGTGGTAGCTCCGATGGTATCTTGAAAATCTCGTCGAACTCCGTGATGACTTGGCGGAGATCATCGACAATGACGATGGGGGAATGTTTCGTCGATTGAATGGATAAAGCTAAACTAGCTTGTTTTGCTTCCCTTGTAATTTCATCGGAATGGGCCCTGGTGATTGAATTTGTGGCCAGCCCAATAACTCTCACCTTGTTGTCTCCATACGTGAATTCCATGGGCCTTCCAATCACATGTCGTTGGGCCCAACCCTTCCAACCATTGGACGCCTAAGACGACATCAAGACCTGACAGTGGAAGCGCAAAGAAGTCGATCGGAAAAATCGCGCCGCCGATTTGTGTTGCGATGTCCCGGTATACTCCTTTGCAGCGGAGAGGATGTCCATCAGCCACACGAACATTGAATGGTTTGGTGTGGGCCATCTTCAGATTCAGGGGGTTGGCAATGCGCTCGTTGATAAAGTTGTGGGTGGATCCGCTGTCGATTAGAGCGACCAAGCGGCGTTTGTTGATTACGATTTCCGCCCGCAGTGTTGTCGGAGAATCCCATCCGGTGAGCGCGTGTAAGGTGATTTCGGCGTCGTCAACGTCGTGGAAGATCTCCTCATCTGTATCGTCCTCCTCGTCATCTTCGCCCAACATCAGCAGCAACTGGGACGTTTTACACTTATGTCCGGGGACATACCGTTCGTCACAGCTGAAACAGAGCCCCAAACTCCTTTTGCGTCGCATCTCTTCCCAGCTGAGTTTCTTTGGTGTCTGTGTTGAGGCCTGCGGGTTTGTGGTGGTCGGCGAGGGGTGTGATGTGTGATTTCGTTGTGGAAAGATCTTACGAGGCAGTTGGAGTTGCTCGTTGCTCAACCTGGCGAGAGTGATGACTTCCTTTAGTGTTGTAGGGGAGAACATTCGAACCTGAGCTGCAATAGATGGGTTTAGGCCACCAAGAAATGTTCCGATGAGCGCCTCTTCGGACCAATTGTGAACCTTGTTACGCAATTGTTCAAATTCCCGTTGATAATCACCAAGAGAGCCGGTCTGGCGGATCTTGGAGAGGGTTTCGTGAAAACGTTGAGCTTGAGTTGGTCCGAAACGTACCCAGAGTTCTGCTTCGAAAGTGTGCCAAGCCGTATTCCGTGCGTCTGTGCCAAGCGTCTTAGACGTAGCTTGCCACCATTCATTAGCCTCCGCCGTCAGATGATATGTGGCGAGACTAACTTGTTGGTGATCCGGAATGTCCTGATAAGCAAAGTATTGTTTTGCTTTCGAGAGCCATTCGGTGGGATCACCTCCGTCGAAACGTGGTAGATCGAGCTTGACGTGGCGGTTGAGAGCGGGTGCATGGTGTGTTCCGGTTGCCGGTGGTCCGTGTTGCGTCGAAGGTGCGTTTGGGTTGGGATGTGAAACAGGGGAGTTGTTGGATCCACCTTCCTGATTTCCACTCATCATGGTTATCAGTCGGTTGATGGATTCACGGTTCTCCTCAGCGAGGCGGTGAAACGAATTCTCCATGATGCGGAACTTCTCGGAAATTTCGCCATTGAACTTTTGAATTTCATCCTGCATCGAACCCATGTTGGTTTCAACATCCTCGAGTCTGTCTTTCACACTAACCATTGGTGCAGGTGAGGACAGAGCCAAGAACGGTTGATTTGGTCGGTGTTTTGGGGTGGTGGTGGTGAAAGGAAACGAAATGGTGAAAAAATTTGGAGTCTAGAGCGCTAGTGCTCTGATACCAAATGTTAGCGATGAACTTGATCAAAGCTTTAGAACTGAAATAAGACAAGAGACTTGTGTTTGGGCAATTGCTTGCCTCTTTTTGGCTTTTTCATTTCTTTAAATACTGAAACAATACAAGAAGCAAAAGGTGGAGTCGTAGCTCCTAAACTTGCGGGAAAAGGGAAATGTGGAGATTGGTTTCCTTAACAATAGGATGACCACTTCTCCATTATTAACTGAAACAACTTGAAAGTCAAATAAAACAATTGAAAAGATAAAACCAGAGTTGTTGGTCAGACCGCATACTTCTGGTTTGGTTTCTTGATTCGGTTTGAGACTCGTCGGTTTGCATCTTCGACTCCATCACATCTCCTCAATCAGAATGATGGGAGATGTAAAGTATGATGAAGCTCTCCAATCCTGGTTCGAAGCAAGAAGATAGACCTCTCTGCAGTTTTCTCTTTCAATCTTTCAAACATATGATGCACATGTTGTAAAAAACGACTTTTTTTTTTGGGTTCCGAATTAATTTTACATTCAATTCAAAAAAAAAAAAAAAAAAAAAATGGACAACCGTGGTTTGGAACCCGTGGTTGAGACAGACTAGATCGGTTGAGATTGATCAAATCCCTGGACCATTCTTATTTTTTGATGAATTGATTGAGATTGATCAAATGCCTGGACCATTCTTAATATGTGGCATGGGATACGATAGAAGTTTATTGATTATTTCCACTACGCATCAAATCCCACAGAAGAAATTTTTGCATGGTATAGTAATGTGTCCTTGAATGGGGATATGTATTGGGCTGCTTACAATCTTAAAACTTCTCAGTGTTTAAACCTGATCTTCGATTGTTCTAAAGAGATGTTGAAGCCCTTTTGTGTTTTACCGTGTAAGCAGAAAGATTCTTCCCATACTCCTCCTGCCCTCGCGGTTTTTCAAGGAAGATCGGTTTTCATTGCTAGAACAATGCGAAATAAGAGGAGAGTTGGAGATTTGGGTGACAAAGAAGAAAATTACTTATGGGGACGATGTGGAGTGGATTAAGTTCATGAGTGTCTCAATACCTAACTTACCCAAGTTATACAATTTAAGGTACGTGGTTGATGATAATATCTATGGAAAGAGCTTCGTCACATGTTGTAACGATGAAAGTAGACAGGCTTGTGTCTATATTGTGAGGGGAGATATTTGCAGAAAGATTAAATTAGATGATGTCGTTGGAGAGTTACGTAAGTGTTTTGTTTATACTCCCATTCCCATTCCTTGAGAGAACAAGAAAAATTTACAATTTTGTTTTTTTTTGTTTTTTGTTCATTACATTGTGGTTTTCCTGTTTTTGTTTTTTAACTATCTACTAGGTAGTTGGCCCGCACCTTGTGCGGGCATAACATTTTTAAAATAATAAATTTAATCAAATTTTTAATTGCATAAGTAATATAATTTAAGATGATTGACTTTTAAACTTATATAGATATACAAAATTAATTTGATAAAAATCATTTAAGTTTCATTACGTTTTGGATGAGTTATTTATATACTATATTAGTCAATTTCATATATTTTGTATTTTTTGAATATTTTATTATGTTTTTATTTTATTTTAGTGCACAAAACCATATCAATTATTTTAAATTTATTATTTGTTTTCTTTAACAGCTTTAAGTTCTTATTCTTCATAATTTTTATCTTTCGATTTTTCTAATTTTTTTATTGTTATATTCTTCTATTGTTTTTTTTTTCTTATTTCATTTGTTTTGTTTGTCATAAAAATAAAATATTAGATGAGGAAAGAGCAAAAAAGAAACCCCAACTCATTCTTTCTGAGGATTTAGAAGAGATTCTACATTGCGTCGGCATGAACTATTTTGAAAAAATAAAACTAAAAATTTGTATCATTTGAAAAACTATCAAATTATACTCATTAAATATTCATACCAAACCAAATGTATTAGATAACTACTTTATAGTTTATATACCATTTTATTCAATTTCATTAATTCTTGTCTTTCAAATCTTTCATGAGTTTTATCCTACTCCAAAACATTATTCATTATTATACAACTTTCATGTATGCAAAAATTAACTAAACTCCGACGATCTCATTTTTTCTTTATTGTCTATGTCAAATTCTTCTTTTTCCGTTTCTTCCGATTTTTCTTCGTCTTTTTCTTTTCTTTCTATTTTTCTTCTTCCTTGTATTCTCATTCTTCTTCAATTAATTTATCGTCTTCGTATCACTTGACTCTCTTTGATTGTTCGTTTTCCCGAATTATTTCCTCTTTCATTACTAACTTTTCTTTTCTAACTTTTTATTCTTCTCGTTTTTATTTCCTATTTTTCCAACTTTGACTTCTTATTCTTTATGTTCCTGTTATCTTTTTTCCTCCTTCCTCTTCATCATCTTTGTGTGATCTGTCATTTTTTTATTTTCTAGTGGTTTATTCACCTTCTCGGCTTCTTCTTCGTCTTTTCTGTATGCGGCTAATTATTCCTCTTCTTTTTCTCCAACGATCTTAACTTCGTTTTTTCTCTCTTTTTATCGTCTTTTTCTGATTCATCTTTTTCTTTTCTCTTTCTCTTTTTTCATCTTCTCATTCTTGTTGGTGTTCTTGTTTCATCCTTTTCATCTTCTCTAATGTCTTCTACTTCCTTATTTTTTCTGATTTTTCTTTATTTTTTTCGATATTTTTTCGTCCTCAAGTATTTCATTTACTTCTTATCACATTCGTCTTCTTCAGCTTCTTATTGATCCGCTTTTTGTTTCTAGGTAAATTGACTAAATTGAAGGATAAATAGCAACTGGCTGCTATATATTTTATATCATCAAATTCTTAAACCATGTCGATTAAGAAATTTTTTTGACAACTCTTTTCATTTTGAACTAAATATTTTTGCTTAATTTGTTATAATTGTTGTTGTTGTACAAAAATTCACTTGAAATTTTAAGAATAAGCAGTGCTATTATTTTATCGATATGATTTGAGCAAAAGATTAAACAATATAGTTGTTTTTCTATTTCCCTTTTCATTAGAATTTTCAAAGACTAAAGTTTTCTTTTTTTATTAAAATTCTCAAAAACTAAGGATTTAAAAAACACACACAAAACTAAACCCTACACCCACCAATATAAACCCTACCTTCTAAACCCTAACCCACCAATATAAACCCTACCTTCTAAACCCTAACCCACCAATATAAACCCTACCTTCGTATCACTTGACTCTCTTTGATTTGTTCGTTTTCCCGAATTCTTTCCTCTTTCATTAGTAACTTTTCTTTTCTAACTTTTTATTCTTCTCGTTTTTATTTCCTATTTTTCCAACTTTGACTTCTTATTCTTTATGTTCATGTTATCTTTTTTTCTCCTTCCTCTTCATCGTCTTTGTCTGATCTGTCATTTTTTTATTTTCTAGTGGTTTTTATTCACCTTCTCGGCTTCTTCTTCGTCTTTTCTGTATGCGGCTAATTATTCCTCTTCTTCTTCTCCAACGATCTTAACTTCTTTTTTTTTCTCTTTTTATCGTCTTTTTCTGATTCATCTTTTTCTTTTCTGTTTCTCTTTTTCATCTTCTCATTCTTGTTGGTGTTCTTGTTTCATCCTTTTCATCTTCTCTGATGTCTTCCACTTCCTTATTTTTTCTGATTTTTCTTTATTTTTTTTTCTATCGTCCTCAAGTATTTCTTTACTTCTTATCACATTCGTCTTCTTCAGCTTCTTATTGATCCGCTTTTTGTTTCTAGGTAAATTGACTAAATTGAAGGATAAATAGCAACTGGCTGCTATATATTTTAAAGCAAAATTCCTGTATCAAATTCTTAAACCACTATCGATTAAGAAATTTTTTGAAAACTCTTTTCATTTTGAACTAAATATTTCTGGCTTAATTTGTTATAATTGTTGTTGTTCTACAAAAATTCACTTGAAATTTTAAGAATAAGCAGTGCTATTATTTTATCGATATGATTTGAGCAAAAAGATTAAACAATATAAGTTATAGTTTTTTTCTATTTCCCTTTTCATTAGAATTTTCAAAGACTAAAGTTTTCTTTTTTTATTAAAATTTTCAAAAACTAAGGATTTTTAAAAAACACACAAAAACTAAACCAACACCCACCAATATAAACCCTACCTTCTAAACCCTAACCCACCAATATAAACCCTACATTCATATCACTTGACTCTCTTTGATTGTTCGTTTTCCCGAATTGTTTCCTCTTTCATAAGTAACTTTTCTTTTCTAACTTTTTATTCTTATCGTTTTTATTTTCTATTTTTCCAACTTTGACTTCTTATTCTTTATGTTCATGTTATCTTTTTTTCTCCTTTCTCTTCATCGTCTTTGTCTGATCTGTCATTTTTTTATTTTCTAGTGGTTTTTATTCACCCTACACCCTAAACCCAAACCCCACATTATAACCCCCACCCTCTCTCCTAAACAGCCCTACACCCTAAACCCAAACCCTACATTACTCACATTACAACCCCCCCTTCACCTCCTTCCTAAACCGCACACATGGAACCCCACATTACAAATGTGTTTTGGATTTGCTTTTATTTTATTATTTTTTAAAAGAAGGTTTTTTTTTGTAATGATTGTTTTTTTCTCCCTTCTATTCTTCTCCAGTAATCCCATCTTCTTCTTTTTCTTCCATTTTTTTATTCATTGTCATAATCTTTTTTTATTTCTTCTTCTTCTTCCAATTTGTTTTCTTCAATCTTTTCTTGTGTCTTCATATCCTCCAACTCACTATTTTTTTTTCTTCTAATTTTCTTTCTTTATCATCTTCATCCTTTCATCCATTCTACATTTTGTTTATCTCTTTTTTGTCTTTAGTCCATTTTTCCTTCTTTAATTTTTTTTCTTTCTCATGTTCGATTTTTCTTCTTGTT